ATTATCCTCGTGAAGAAGAAATAATATGTACCATTATGTGTGCTTAATAAAGAATTGCTAATGGTAATATTCATTTACTATCTCAGTCAGTATTGATGGTATGAACACCATTGAAATACATAAACAGCTTGGTGATATTAGCGCATATCTAAAGATGAAGTTTTTAGCCAATGATCTTGTGGTCTAGTGACACGAAATGACTCTCCTAAATGGGAGGTCATGTGTTCGATCAACAATGGGGGCGGTATTGACTCTTTGTGCTTCAGTAGGTTGAGAAAGTAGTTATGAACATATATTACATTTTTACAGAGTCAGTAGTACTCAAAAAAGCCGAGTATTATCGACTTAAAGATGGAGTATTTCATTAAAGGAATAATATACACATATCATGCACTGAAGGTTTATATTGGGCTTATGGTTGTACTCTTTTTCCCTTAGCTAAGTTTTTCCCACTGAATTTTCTTAGCTTAAAGTTTTTATCAAGGCAACCGGTGTAACGCGTCATTTAGTTAAAAAATAATAATTTCGCGCGTGTTTTGGCGTTAACGGTGTTATTTTTTTTTGGATTATGAATGTACAGTTATGCCGTTATGAATGTACAATTATGCCGTTATGAATGTATAGTTATGCAATTATGAAATTATGAACACAATTTGACATACGTCATATACTCTTTTTTCCCTGGACTACATCATGGAGATGGAATAAAACACATTTCTTCAGTGATATCATAAATCCAAGGGATAAATGTGAATGTCCAAGCTGTGAGATTCAAACACTCAACCTTAGAGCAGTTTCCAAAATACGGGAGTTCGACCATACAACCTTAGAGAAGCTATATAGACTTGTGACTAACTAGCTAGGCTAATCTTAACAACGGGTTATCTTTTGTATAAATAATATTTATTTAATTCTCATGTTTCTTCTCACTTTATCTGATTATTATTATTACTAACAACTTACCTGTGTGATGCACGGTAAAATTTTTATAAGTATTTAAGTTATGTTTGTTATATTATGAAATAACAATAACAATTTTTCATGTGGAAGTTATAATTTGAGTATATATAATTTCAAATTTGGAATTTAAACAAACTAAAAAGTAATAAGCGTTAGTGAAATAGAATGAGAATGGATTTTAAATTACAAATTATTAAAGACCTCTTTTTAAACTACATTAGTGGTTATTACATCTATTATCTAATTCACAATAAATCAAAAATTTTGAGACCTTTAGGATTGCTTACTCAAGATGTCGCTACATATAATTGTTTGTGCACAAATGCGGGCTTCTTGAGTAGCAATCCAACATGAGATAATGTTTGTCCCTGACTTTTATTTATGGTCATTTCATATGAAAGCATTAATGGAAATTGTCTTCTTTTAAACTTGAATGACAATCTTTGACCTGATGGTGTCATAGTCATTCGAGGAACCAACACCCTAGTACCTGCATGATCACCTGTCGATATTTTTGCTTCTATTACGTGTTCTGCCAACTTGGTGACAATCAACCTAGTACCATTACACAACCCGAGAGAGTGATCTATGTTTCTCAACAGCATCACAGGGGAGCCAACCTTTAAGGGTAGTGAGTGATTAGGTATGTCAGAAGCTCTTATGCCATTTAGAAATTCATGTGTGTGAACGTTTGTCAGGATGCCATCATTCGACTCAGACCTACAAACCATGTCGCAACTCAAGTAAGTCTTGCTTTTGGCAGCATGCATGTCACTCATGTATTGGTTGATAGCATTGACCACATCTAATGTTGGTGGGTAAAATCGCACGATTTTTTAAAAAGCTGTTATCACCGTTGTTAGTTGAAAACATGGGGAATGTGTTCTCCACTATAGTGGCAATGAGATCGCCATTCGTAGGCAATAACATATCTTATGGGATATCAACTACTACACAACCATCATTTTGACATCCAATTGTCCCATCACCAATTGCTGCAATCCATTGAGCAAATTCTTCAAGTCGTTGCAATTCAGTGTCGGTACCCATACTGTTCAATCGAAGGTTCTTAGTTAATTTTAAAACCTTGCAATTGTCCCACATATACAAAGCATTTATGGTGGCAGCAACGATTTCTTGTCTTGTGCCTTTTGGAACTACGGGCACTTTTTGCCTAAAATCACCACCTAAAACAATAGTTTTTTTGCCAAAAGTCTTATTTGCAGTTGTTGGGTTAACAAAACATTGTGTAGACCATGGTACATACAATAATTTGCCGCTATGTGGGGCAAATTATGTTGAACCGTGTCCACTTTAGATTTCAAAACTGTTCATAATTATGAATATATAGTTCAAAAATTATGAACATATAGTTCTATAATTATGAGCATAGAGTTGTGAACATAATTATGAATATATAGTTCTGTAATTATAAATATAGAGATTCAATATAATTGTGAATATTAAGTTCAAAAATAATGAATATATAGCTTTATAATTATGAACATATAGTTCAGTAATTATGAATATAGAGTTTTGTAATTGTGAATATAGAGTTCAATAATTATGAATATAAAGTTTAAAAATTATGAATATATAACTTTATAATTATGAACATATAATTCAGTAATTATGAACAGTTCCACAGCATAACGATTGGCTATGTGGTTTGTTTAAGGGTGTGTTTGGTTCATGGGTTTACCCACTAGAAATGAAAATCAAAATCATAGTTAGTGTGTGTTTGGTGAGTTTTTTTTTTTTTTTTTTTTTTTTTTTGAATGCTACTAACTCTATTACAATGTAGTATCTGTTCATAACTACTTTCTCAACCTACTGAAGCACAAAGAGCCAATAACGCCTCGACTGAGGCTCGAACTCAGAACCTCCTATATGGTGAGATTTGATTATCCTTCAATTAAAAATCCTATTTCCTAATTAAAATCGGTATCATTCCATCTTATTGGTAATATATGATTTTTTTTTAGTTTGGATTAGTGTTTTTACATTTTTGTTTTGATTCTTTTCTTCATATTGGTACTTTAGATGTCATTATGTTAAGATCAATTGCTTTGATTTTTTGGTTTTGTATTTTTAAAACCTTTATTATCATTATAGGATCATAAATAACCAAATATCAATATTTGTAATTAATTAAATTTCACCATATTATCAAACATGTAAAATACTTTCTCTAAAATTCATTACCATTATCAAGTATTTGATTCTCAGGTGTGTTCCGCACCATATATAACTCTTCTCGGTGCAATTCTCACCAAATTTAATCATTAAAATTTAAGAGGAGATTAAACAATGCGCAATTAACTTGCTTTGAATTTTGCGCCTATATTGTGGAACACTCTCCATATTTTTTAGTCAAAACTTTAGGTCATTACACCATAAAACAACCATATTTCTCTTACTTAACATATAGAAAACTTAAAGGGGGGAAATGGACGGTTTAAAAGAGGAGCTTTAACAAAAACAGCAGGTGCAGAGGAAAAGATTGTCTATTGGAAATTTTAAAAAAAAAAATGATAGAAGAAAAAAGATGAATAGAATGGATGGATAGGAAGAAATTTAAGAAAGTGGATGAATAAAAAAGAGTAAAGGGAAGACCTTTATTCATGCTCGCATATAGTGTGATATGGACATGTAGTAGGAGAAAACTTAAATATATAGAAAATGATATGAGTTAATACCATCTGGAGTTTTTTAAGTTCAGTGATTTTGTCACGTTTAGTTATAAACTTTCAAAGATCACATGTGATTTTTTGATATTAAATTTTTATCATAGTCCAAAGTTAACCACTCATGGTTTTTCAACTATCAAATTTTAACCATTCATAGTCCTTCTAGGAGGATCACGGCTGGTTAAATTTTGAAAGTTACGTTGAAGGACCATGTGTGGTTAATTTGGACCACAGATGATAACAATTTGAATGTTAAGGATCATGGGTGGTCAATTTAAAATTTTAAGACTAAACGTGACAAAACCACTATATATACTCGGATGACCCCATATGACATTAACTCAAAATGATATATTATGAGAAATTTTAAGGTGATGTTTAATTGATTAGCACTCGTGTTTTTTTTTTTTTTTTTTTTTTTTGTACAATAAAAAATAAATACATAAAATTTTGAGTTGTATCAAAGAACATATTATCGTAATTGAAATAAATTCTAAAGATTTGTTTAATTATACCACTAATACAAATTTATTTTTAGTGTATTACTTCTTATCCCATTTCATCTAACATGTTAACTATTTATTATTCATCAAACCAATTTTTTTTTTTCTTTACTTATTTTCTTTAGTATTTTTAATTAATTTTAATTTTAATTTTTTTTGTGTGTGTTTAAGAGCATCTATCTCCAACAATGAACTTCTGTTAGTTTTTGGAGTATGAAAAAATTGAGCAATTGTTTTTTGTCTAATGGGGAGCATGATTTTTTGCTAAATATTTATCTTGCAAAAATCAACAGAAAAAAAATTCAGAATTGCGCGTTTGGAACACATTGCGTGCCCGCCAGTCTAATTTGTACCGTTGCTTTTTTTTTTTTTTTTTTTTTTTAAACTAAATAAATTGTCTGATTCTTTTTTTTTTCTTTTTCTTTTTCTCTTCCAATTTTCTCTCTCTCCTACATGACTTCCTAAAATGGTGTGCAAAAAACCAAACAATTAAAGTTTCTAAATATATAAATTTTATATAATAATACTTTACTTAAAATCATAAAAAGAAATAAATTAAAAATAACTTCCAGTCAACAAATAAAATTAAACAGAGAGAGAAAGTATAAGTTTATTTTGACTTGTAAATTGTAATACACAAACGATTATGTATAAAAAAAATATAATAAATTTACTAAATGAAATTAAAATATAATAATTGAGATTCCTTTGAGTAGGAAAAAGGATGTGACAGTGTAAATTTAATACTCCATTCAGTGTTTTTTGTTTGACTTTCAGTGTTTTGGTTTGACTTTCAGTGTTTTTTGTTTGACTTTCAGAATCAATCATCCATGCATTCTGATCCGATACCCAATTAAGTCGGTTACTAATTCCGCCCGCTTGGTATTTGTTATAATGTTCTTCCCATTCCAGTGAATCCTCAGTTCTTCCACTGATGTGCTCACAGGTACATATAGATCTCTCTCTCTCTCTCTCTCTCTTGCTGCATTTTTTGTTTTTTCATATATGTATCGTTTGTTCAATTGCATAGTGTTTTTGCATAAAAAAAGATGCAATCTTAAATTTATACTTGGTCGTGTTCTTCGAATTTGATATTCTAGTATTGTTTTGATGAATTGATTACTTGTTTGATTTACGGAGTTAATAATTAGGTACTGGTATATTACTCCAGTCGTTTCAAATGGACTGTATTGGTAATTGTTTGATCAAGTTTGGGTTTAGTTTTAGGTACTGCTAAGTTCAAATTTTCGAAGTAGCTAGGGATTGAGAGACCTCACAATTGCAATGTTAAAATTTATAGTTAATGACAAGTTTTTTGTTGGGTGATGTTTGAGGAAGGAAAATCTGACATTCAATTTGATAGGAGAGTACAAATTTTCATCCAAAATGAAAGCAATAAAATAGTTCTATGGCTTCAAGTCACCTTGGAGGTGGAGGTAGCTAGATGTGGAACACCATTGATCCAGATTTCCTGGTCTCAAAAATGTTTCCAGCTGGAAAAAAATTTTCTGCTCTGATCTCTTGATTTGTATAGTTCTGCATAGTTAAAATTTCTAGTTGTATGATGTTTAACTATACGCTGCGTTGTGCAGGAGTAGCAGTAAAATCCACTTTTTAAATGGCTTCTAATGGTACCACGCCGCACACGTGCTCATCTCCGATGAAGGCTACATCCAATGGTGTTTTCCAAGGAGATAATCCCCTGGATTTTGCACTTCCCCTTGCCATTTTGCAGATATGTGTGGTTATCGTGGTTACAAGAGTTCTAGCATATATGCTGAAGCCGTTACGACAACCACGCGTAATTGCAGAGATCATTGTAGGTTGCTTTAGTTTGTTCTATTTTGATTTTTTGATGCATCTCATGGGGGATGGCTGTGGTTAAATTTGAACGCAAGTCTACTACCTAGAAAGGAATCTAGCTTCGGGAAACCTCACTTTATTCTATTCATGAATAGGTTCCTTATAATTTTAACGTTCCTCTTAAGATAACCTTACATCAGGAGCATTTTTTCAGAGAGTTAATGAATGGGTTGATAAAATGATATAATTTTCATATCATGGTGTCTCTAGCTGTGGTTGTTGCTAATTTGTTTCCCTTGTGACCTGGAATCAGGTGACATATATAGATCATATGACTTATGCTTTTACTTGATGCTCGCTGAGGAAACTGTAACTTTTTTTTTTTCCCATTTACAGGGAGGAGTGTTACTTGGACCATCAGCTATTGGTCGAAATCAAGACTTCCTGCATGCCCTATTCCCACCCAAAAGCATTACTCTCTTGGACACTCTAGCAAATATAGGTCTGTTATTCTTTATGTTTCTTGCAGGCCTAGAAATAGAACTTCACTCCTTGCGTCAGACAGGAAAAAAGGCCCTCGGAATTGCCATTGCAGGAATTAGCCTCCCTTTTGCATTAGGAATTGTTTCTTCATTTGTTCTTCTGGAAACAATAGCTGAGGGTGTAAATAGAACTTCCTTTCTCATATTCATGGGTGTAGCACTTTCTATAACTGCATTCCCCGTTTTAGCACGAATCTTGGCTGAACTGAAGCTTTTAACAACTGATGTTGGGAGAACTGCAATGTCTGCAGCAGCAGTTAATGATGTGGCTGCATGGATTCTGCTTGCACTAGCAATTGCATTATCTGGTGACAACCTCACTCCTGCTGTCTCGGTTTGGGTTTTCCTTAGCGGGTGTGGGTTTGTCATCTTTTCAAGTCTTATTGTCCCACCAGTTTTTAAATGGCTGTCTCGATGTTGCCACGAAGGACAGCCCATCGATGAGATTTATGTATGTGGCACATTAGCTGCAGTACTTGCAGCTGGATTTGTTACTGATACAATTGGAATTCATGCAATGTTTGGGGCATTTGTGATAGGCGTTCTTGTGCCAAAAGAGGGGCCATTTGCTGGTGCACTTGTCGAGAAAGTTGAGGATCTTGTTTCTGGTCTTTTCCTCCCACTGTACTTTGTTTCAAGTGGATTGAAAACAAATGTAGCTACAATCAAAGGAATTCAGTCATGGGGTCTACTAGTTTTGGTTATATTCACTGCATGCTTTGGGAAGATTGTTGGCACTTTTTTAGTTTCCCTTCTCTTCAAAATGCCCAAAAGTGAAGCCCTTACCCTTGGTTTTCTGATGAACACTAAAGGATTGGTGGAACTGATTGTTCTTAACATTGGCAAAGATAGAAAGGTGATCTTCTTCATACAGAATTGACTGATTTATTTAAGTTTATGGTTTCACTTTATGTCATTTATCTGTATATTTCACTTGCAGGTTTTGAATGACCAGACATTTGCCATTATGGTGCTGATGGCTCTTTTCACAACTTTTATTACAACACCTTTAGTTGTGGCGGTGTATAAACCTTCAAAAATGGCGAGCAGTGATAGCTATAAACACAGAACGATAGAAAGGAGAAATCCAAATACTCAACTCCGAATCTTGGCTTGTTTCCATAGCTCAAGAAATATCCCATCTATGATAAACCTACTAGAGTCTTCCCGTGGGACTGAGAAGCAAGATGGGCTTCTTGTATATGCTTTGCATCTCATGGAGCTCTCTGAAAGATCATCAGCTATCTTAATGGTACACAAGGCCCGTAGGAATGGCTTGCCGTTTTGGAATAAGGGCATAAGGTCAGATGCTAATCAGGTTGTTGTGGCCTTCGAGGCTTTCCAGCAATTAAGCCGGGTCTCTGTGCGACCAATGACTTCTATTTCTTCATTTTCTGATATGCACGAAGATATTTGCACAACCGCTGAGAGGAAAAGAGCAGCTATAATAATTTTACCATTTCACAAGCATCAGAAATATGATGGCTCATTTGAGACAACTCGAGCAGATTTTCAGTGGGTGAACAAGAGAGTTCTTGAGCAAGCTCCATGCTCGGTGGGGATCTTTGTTGATCGTGGGCTTGGTGGCAGCTCTCAAGTAGCAGCAAGTAATGTTTCCTATCAGATAACGGTTCTGTTTTTTGGGGGTGGTGACGATCGTGAGGCGCTTGCTTATGGAGCTCGATTAGCTGAGCATCCCGGGATCAGTACGACCGTTGTCTGCTTCTCTCCAAAACACGAGCCAACCGGAGAAATAACAACAGTCGATATGGATACAACCTCTCCTGGCTTACAAATTTCTGCTGATGGTGAGGCCCTTGCTGATCTTAAGCAGAGAACATCTCATGATGATTCTGTCAAATTCGAGGAGAAAACGGTTTGTAACAAGGAAGAAATAACTGCTGTCATCCGCGGTCACAGCCGCTGCAACATGTTTTTGGTTGGTCGAATGCCCGATGGTGAATTGGCGTTGGCACTGAACCAGATGAGTGAATACCCTGAGCTTGGGCCAATTGGTAGTTGTCTGGTTTCACCAGATTTCCCTATGGTAGCCTCAGTCCTGGTGTTGCAACAACACAACAATCAGACATCCCCAGATTTGAGACCAGAAGGCGGGGGCGAGGAGTTAGCTTCCTCTGATGCCCTGTAAACATACGGCTAACCATCACATCACCCCTTGTTCATCATGGCAATGGGACATGTTTTCTGTAAGTTTGATTTTGGTTTTCTAATAAAGTGGTTGTTTAATGTTGCCTTATGCTAGTTAGATGACCAAGTTTGGTATAGGGGTGGGGAGAACTGAGAACAAATCGAACGAAATGGCACCATTCATTCCTTAGCCAAACGTATGAAAACTAAAAAATTGACAGGGGTTGTTTGGTAAATAGCTGTTAGCTAATTGGGTTAGTGGGTTTGACTAATTGATAGTATTAGCTGATTGTAGAAAAATATTTAGTAAATTAGTTGTTAGTTGATAATTGATTACATGCAAAATGACTTTATAAAAAAGTTGATCGAAAAAATTGCTTTGGGTAACTTTTTGAATTTTAGTATTTTGGAACAATAAGTTGTTATAAAAAATTAATTAATCAAACACTCATATTGGTTGTCTAAGTAAGTCAGTGGTCAAATAAGCCAAAATTGGTTGATAAGCTAACCATGTTACCAAATAGAGCCATAGATTTTTTATGAAAATTTTGTTCTTGTTCTATGTTATATTGTTTATGAGCATCTTTTAAGTAGCATATGATCTCAGAAGTTAAAGTCAATTTGATTGTGATGGATATATTATGATCGAAGCAAACCGACCCGAGAGAGCAGATCCGGGACATTTCGGCCGAAGGCACCACAGCCCAAGGCACCTCGGCCTAATGAGCTCGGTAATGCCGAGCTCAGACCATAATGAGCTCGGCCGTATGCCGGACTCGGTCCCGAGCTAGGCCGCGGTCAACATGGAGATTCAACCATCCCCCGGTTTAGGGGGTGCGGTTGGGGTCTATTTGATATAAATACCCCCTAGTTTGTCCTATTAGGACACACTACACATTTTCTTACAAACTTTACCTACTTTGTCCTAATCTACAGTTGTAATAGCATTACATTTTCCTTGTATTAGCTCATTTATCATTATCTAATACAATATATGGTTCCCGCGACTTTACGATATCGTTTTATCTATTCTTTATTATTACGTTCTTAATTGAATTTAGTAATTCGGGCTACTCCAGGTTAATTAAATCCATCATATTGAAATTGTAATAGAGGACTGAAAATATACACAATGAACAAGAACAAAATAGAACACTTTTAAGGAAGAGTAGTTGGCAAAGAATTTTTGGAAATTTTGACAGTAGAGCAAGAAACGGAAAAATGATTTTCGCAGAGTTAATTTCTTTTCAAGAATGTTTCCTTGACCTTGACTATTACGTAACATTTATCAATTTTATATCTACTTTTATAATTAAATTATAAATGATCACTTAACTATTGATATTTATCAATTTTCATCTATCAACTTTTAATTTAATTATAAATAATTCTTTGACTATTGATTTTATTCTAAAGGTGTTCTTCTAATTAAATATCAATTTAGTAAACATTGCTTCAATCTCCCGACAGCAAATCTGAACAAATATGCAAGTTTCTGTTGCCAATGCAAAAACCGGTAGCTTTTCGGTCGTGGAAGGAGCCATAAAAATTGGGCGCCCTTTGCAGTCTGCCATGGAAAAACTGTCCAAATTTTCGCTGGGAAACCACGTGCTGATTTTGGCCTGTTTCTTGTTCTTTATTTTTTTTATTTTTTATTTTTTATTTTTTTGATTTGATGTCTTATCTTTCGGAATAGGCAATGCAATCATTCTCAAACTGTGACATATTATATGATGTACCATTCATCTATGATCTCCTCTCTCATAGTTATGTGAAATTGGATCAATAGATACACATTATTAAAGCTTATTATCCTTCGCATATATAAGCATTGCTATTCCTTACCAGTTAACATTAGTAAGTGAATGAAAGGAATAGAACTATGATTCTACAATAGAAATATTCTATTATTTTGGTTTCTATAAGTAACGAAATAATATTCGTAATTTGATTGGTTTATGATGGTTTTTAATGAACAACACTCGTCATGGAACTAGATTGTCAAGGATAAAATTGATAACAAATGCAAATATTAAATAAATTGGACGTTGGACTGCAGGTGCATGCCCTTTCGATCTATAATGAAAAAATATTAAAAACGGGTATCAAATACAAACTCAATAGGGGCTATTATCAATTCAAGACAAACTAGGCAAGTTCCCCAAAAAGGAAATAAGACAATGGATTAGGCAAGTCAAGTCTTCGTTGAGTGATGTTGATGTTTGAAGAAGACACATGACTCCATATTTATAGTATTTTTAGGGCTAAAAATAACAAAGAATGAGTGAACGAACGAAACACCCAATAATTTCATACCACACATGCGTCCATTCGATCGCATTTTGCCACCCTCCCCCTTTCGCATGCCCCCGAAGCCTAAAAGCCAGTGAGTAGCATGACGGTTAGTAACAGCTGGTCACCTCTCACCGTTCCCATCCACATTTGTGGATCCGTGTAAGGACATCAAATAGTATCCTTACTGACCAGGCAAGGGGGTGTAAAGGCCCCCCCACCCTCCAATCTTCTCATAGTTTACAATAGTCGATAGCCACCGGCCACGGGTCCCGTGACAGCCCATTAATATGTCATTTGTGTATATTTTCCTCTTATGTTATAGTTATTTATATTAAAATTTGGAGAGCCAATTTAAAAATAAGTCTACATAAACTAATAACTAGTGTCATGTCATCAGGATAACTAGTAAATCAGTTTAAAATGCTAGACAAACAAAAATTAATGATAAATAAATTAAAATATATGTTATGAAAGATTATAGTGCATCATAAATAATTTGATATAGTTCATGATATGAGATAATACTTTAATCTTTTTAAAAGTACTGATGATTGCTTTACTCTTTAAAATGGGGGAGGGGGCAAGGACCAAATCCTTAAAAAAAAAACCAAAAAAATAAACATAAATAAAACTATAAAAGTACAGTTGTTTTCAAAAATAAAAATAAAAATGAAAGTACAGCTAGGGCAAAGCAAACGGACAACTTTATCCTCAAAATGTTCATCGCTCACATTTATGCAATTTGCAATCATCACCAATGCAACCATCATCCTCTGAAACTTTGAAATCCTCATAATCTTATTCCAAGTCAAAAATAACCCTCAAACTAAGGAGTCCATTCATCTCTAACTTGGTATGCCTCCTAGGAATTTTTTTTAATTAAGTAAAAAAAGTTACGATATTTTTTCTTTTAAAAAATAAAACTAAAATACATGACTTTGGTGGAGCAGCATAATTGTAGCTCTCACAAATGGAAGGTCATAGCGTAAGAGCATTGACTCTTTATGCTTCAACAGGTTGAGAAAGTATATATAAACAAATATTACAATGTAACAGAGTTAGTAATACTAAAAAAAAATTAAAGATTAATGAGATGGCTCCCACGGGTATTCCGTAATTGTGGGATGTCACATTACCCCTCATTAAATGCTCCCACAGGACTCGCACTCGGTACTTCTACGGTTCTATCCAGTAGATACAATAATACTAAGAGCAACCTCATTTTTTCTTTTTAAAAAATAAAATTAAAATATATAAATGTGGTTGAGCGACATAATTATAGCTCTCTCAAATGGAAAGTCACATGATGAGAGCATTGACTCTTTGTGCTTCAGTAGGTCGAGAAAGTATGTATAGATATATAAAAAAGGAATAAGGTTCAAATTGGCCACTGAACGTAACCTGAAAATGCAATTAGGCCACTGAACGAAAAAAGTGCAATTAGACCGCTGAACACTCTAAAAATGTGCAATTTCACCTGATAGCAGGTTACCATCAATTTTAGCAGGTTATCTGCTTACGTGGCAGCTGAGTTGACATTTTTAATAAATTTTAATTAATTAATAAATTTTAATAATAACTTTTTATTAAATTTTTTTAAATAAAAACGACTTTATTTTATTTTTATTTAATTTTATTTAATTTTTTATAAAATTTATTATTAAAAAAAATTAAAAATTATTAAAAATGCCAACTAAGCTGCCACGTAAGTAGGTAACCTGCTAAAATTGATGATAACCTGCTATCCGGTAAAATTGCATACGTTTGGAGAGTTCAGTGGCCTAATTGCACATTTTTTGAGTGTTTAATGGTCTAATTGCACTTTTTTTTCGTTCAGTGACCTAATTGCATTTTCAGGTTACGTTCAGTGGCCAATTTGAACCTTATTCCTATAAAAAAAAAAACTTTATTATTGGGAATATTCTTACCAATTTGTTTTTTTTTTTTTTGATACGCATCAAATCAAATTCCAATAAAAATCTTCACCAAATTCACGCGGGGCATCGGCACACAACATAACGAATCATTAAAAAAAAAAATGGGGCGGACGCCGAAGCAATACCGCTATTTCTGGGGCCAAGTTTAACGTACGCCGACCACTTTACTATGCGCTGCCTCGCCACCAACGCTAACGTCCATTTTCCCACTCGCTCGTCTGAACGCGCCTGCACTCGCTTCCATGTACCTAACTGCATTTCTATACACAATACACACACGCGCACACAAAAACTGAAAACCCTTCTTCTCTCTCCTCACTCTCTCTCTTTCTCTCTCATCATATTGTCCTCACAACTCACTTTTCTCTCCCTGTTCCATTCGCCCTCTGCCGGCGCTCAAAAGCCCTAAATTTTCTCTCTCTCTCTCTCTCTGCACATGTACTGTATGTATATGTTTGTGTGCTGATGATATATACATGTATATGTATCTATCTTCTGATTCTCTAGGAAGCGTTTCTGTCTCATGAGATAATTGAGTCCGAAAGGTACTTTCTTCGATCTGTTGTTTCTTCGACGTATTTATCTGCTCGATCTAGTCCACTGCAGCATTTGCTCCAGATTCAAATCTTTCATTGAATTTCATATTCCTTGAATCCTGTAATTTTGTTGTAGTTTTTTTAAATTTCCCGGGAAAAAAATTGTCAAATTTCAGCTGCATCCGTAGTGAGTTGAGCTCTGTTTGCTGTTTTCAGCTGAATTTTGATATATTCGTATATGATTTGACGACTAAAATACTTACATTTTTCTTGCTGTTGTCTTTTTGTGAAATATATATATATTTTTGCTTTATATTTGCTGTGTCGGAATTCGATTTAATAGCAGATTCTGTTAAATTGTCGGTTGGTTTGAATTTCCTTTGCTTGTTGTCACTTTCCTTTACGGTTCTTTAACTTTTTGAAGTAGTCGGTGGAGGAAATTTGAATAATTGTATATGGATTTCGGAACGTTCAGCTGGAAAGATGGGGTAGAATAGAAGTTAGCATAGATAAATTCTTTAATACGTTATAGTTCTACAGTGACAGTTAGGTTATAGATTATAGATGCCAAGTTGAAATTTTCTTTTTTCTCCCCATAATTATGTTTGAGGCTTCAGGTCTACTTTTGGAGTGAGATAAAAAATTAATTTGATGGGGAGAATTTCTTAGGCTTTTTAAGGTGCACACATGTCACATGTTAATCATTATCTAATGTTCAACATGCTTACTACATAAGAAAAAAGGATTTTTTAGCTCTGAACTTCCAGTAGGGTAAACTTTCCGTTGAATTATTACTCTATAGTAAACTAAATATTTGGCTGATCATTTCTTTTTGGATTTTTGTCTCACTGATTTATCATAATCTAATTCATTAAGGGTGAGAAGTAAAGTTTAAGCATTTGCGTGCAAAGCACTGCAAAGTGCTATTGACTTCTACAATTAGAGCAACCCCATTAGGGGTTTTTACTCAGTTTTAGAGGATGAAAAAACTGTGTTGTTTTTGCACAATTGGGAAGCATGGTTTTTTGGGGTATTTTATTCCTGCAACAACCTACACGCACCCGCTTGGGCGATTCAGAGCTGACGGCCACTCTGAATGGTTTTGTATTTTTTTTTGGCCGCTGCAAATAGCAACGGCCAACTTCTTCTGTTTTTTTTTTTTAACATTTATAATTATAAATTTATTTTAATTTTGATATGTTTAATTTAAATATAATAAAAATAAAAATTGTAATTATAATTTTTATAATGATAATAAATAAAGAAATAATTAAAATATAGTGGAGTAAAATGGTGGGTCCACAAAAAACTGAGAAAAAACCTAAAACTAGTAATCTAGTATTATAGTTTCTACTGGCAGAAGTACCGAGTGCGAGTCCTGTGGGAGCATTTAATGAGGGGTAATGTGACATCCCACAGTTACGGAAGACCCGTGGGAGCTACCTCTTGAATCTTTAATGGAATCAAGTACTACCTTGGCTATGTAATTTGGGCTTGGGCTGTGATGGGAACATCACTTGTCTAATATGGAAAGTTTTTAATCTCCATTGTGACCACCATATAAGGTTGAGCTTAAAAGGCTCATATGCATCAAAACTAAGAATTAATCGTTTTTGGGCTCGAGTTCCAACAAAGGTCCAACTGTGTTGCATGTATAGGTCTTAATGCTGCATAATGCAGTGAACTTATGTTTCAGTTGATACGTTACTAGATTTCATTGTTAAACTTTCACTAACACCCTGCCCCCTCTCCCCCTTTCCCCTTCCCAACCCACACATACAAACCTCTAAATAAATAACCATGTGTAGCTAATGTGTGCCAAAATTTTCTGAGTTTTCATGTATGGATATCTTTTCATGCTTCCTTTTCCTTGTATTTATATTAAATTGGTTACTTTTTTGGTTTCATTTTCTATACATACATACTTAAAAGAATGATGCTATATTCTAATTCCCTTTCTGTTTAAAATGCTAGTTTACCTGTGTCACTTCATTATATACTTTTTTAAATATATTTTAATGGTGCAATCCAATAGCTCCTTATAGCAAAATTTTTCTAATGCAGGATGATTGGTTGTAATGATATTGTGCTGAAGGTTTTGAGTTTGCATATTATCTGCATGCATTACCATTGCTGATCACTAGCAGCTGGGATATTATTTTCTAAGGAAATGGATCGACGTGATACTTCAGGTTTTGTAAGTGGGGGTGGGATGTGCTGTTCCAGAGATGTCTAGCACTAGTTTTAGGACTAACTTTGTTTTTTTTTAATAAAAGCCCGGAAGTCAGGTTAACTGCATCTTTGCTATTAAGATTGGTTCAAGTAATAGTTGTGTGGAGTTTTAGCTAACAGTTTATGGATCCCAGATTCCACAGTTTTGGTTTTGCTGCAAACCTGTCCTTAAATGCATATAATAATCTGGGCAATCCAATTCAAATAGGAGGAGCTGGAGTGCAAGGTGGTTATTGTGCAGATACGACATTGCGACTTGATTCCCTTGGTTCTTTAGTATCATCTATTTCTTCCCCAAAGGGAATCAAAAGGAAGTGGGGCTTGATTGATGGACCCACCAATGAGCAGGTTGGGTCCTCTTTGTGTCTTGGTCTTGGTTATTCATCAAGTTCCTCGGAGAGTAAGGGGGGGAGTTCAGCCACTGCAACTGTGTGCACCTCAACTTCTTCGACGAAAGAAAGTGATGACGAATCCTCAATGGACCTAGAATTGGATTTCACTCTCCATCTTGGCAATGAGAAGTCACTGAGCCCCAAAAAGTCAGCCAGCTGTGAGAAAGAATTTAATATGCCACTTAAGGTTGATCTGGAACTGAGTCTTTCCAGTGGCCCTAGTGAATCTGGTATTACCACAGCATATCAAAGCTCTACTTCACCACATAGTTCCATGAAGCTGCCAGAGACTATTGTTGGAGTTCTTCAAATAGATGAAGGGTCAATGTCATCCTCTTTAAAAAGTGGGTGTTTGATCAACCCATTACAGACTCCAAATAGCGCTAGGGCTAGTTATGTCAATCAGGCTGAAAGACAAATCAATTCAGCTCCTATCTCTCATGATCCCTGTTCCAGTTCCATAGCTAACCTAAAAAGCTCTGTAACCTGTTCTTCCGGGGTAACAAAACAGAAGAAGCAGCAGCAACAACAACGTAGCAGTAGTAGTAGTAGTACTAAAAAGTGTCAGTTCCAGGGTTGTGTAAAAGGAGCAAGAGGTGCTTCTGGCCTTTGCATTGCCCATGGCGGTGGGCGGAGGTGTCAGAAATCTGGCTGCCATAAAGGATCCGAGGGTCGAACTGCATTCTGCAAGGCCCATGGTGGTGGTCGACGGTGTGAATTCCTAGGATGCACCAAGAGTGCTGAAGGACGTACAGATTTCTGTATTGCACATGGCGGTGGGCGTCGTTGCAGCTACGAGGGATGCGCCCGTGCTGCCAGAGGGAAATCTGGGTTGTGCATTCGCCACGGTGGAGGCAAGAGATGCCAGAAAGAGAACTGCACAAAGAGTGCCGAAGGCCTTTCTGGTCTCTGCATTTCACATGGAGGCGGTCGGCGATGCCAGTATCCACAATGCACCAAGGGGGCACAAGGGAGCACAATGTTCTGTAAAGCACATGGTGGCGGTAAGCGTTGCATTTATGAAGGGTGTACAAAGGGTGCAGAAGGGAGCACACCATTTTGCAAGGGCCATGGTGGAGGGAAAAGATGTTTATTCCAAGGAGGTGGGGTTTGCCCAAAAAGTGTGCACGGAGGGACTCTTTACTGTGTAGCACATGGGGGCGGTAAGAGATGTGCTGTGACCGATTGCACAAAGAGTGCAAGGGGCCGGACTGATTTTTGTGTGCGCCACGGTGGGGGCAAGAGATGCAAGTTTGAAGGGTGTGGAAAAAGTGCCCAAGGAAGCACTGAATTCTGCAAGGCACATGGTGGAGGGAAGAGATGCTCTTGGGGTCAGGCTGGTTCTGAATTTGGCATCGGTGACGGTCCTTGTAACTCACTCGCTAGGGGGAAAACGGGGCTTTGTGCATCTCATGGTGCTCTGGTGCAGGACAAACGAGTTCATGGTGGAGCCACCATTGGAGTTATAGTCCAGGATACAACACCCAACAAACCCAAGAAGTTGAACAATACTGTCACTCAAGACGACATGAACGTTGATACCATAAAAATGGAGACGAGCGTGCTAACATCTCCAAACAGCTCTAGCGGGAAATGTTTAGCCAACCCGTCGGCATCAATAGCAGTGAGAGCTCCTGAAGGGAGGGTGCACGGTGGAATTTTAATGGCATTGCTAAGAAACAATTCAGGTCTTAGTTTAGGCAACAACACGGGCATGGTGAATCCAGCAGAGCCAGGGAAAACATACACAGTATCTCAGAACTGGATGTAAGAAGGGAATACTGAAGCCTCTGTCAATGCCCAATGGTCTTTTTGCTTTTCTTGTCCTATATTTCTGGAAGTGGTCTTCAGGACTCTTGTGTTTGTTACATCAAGGATGAACTTTAGTTAGTCTTACTCATTTCCTTATTGTATATAGTTTTGTATTCTGTTATCGTTTTTATTTTGTGAATATTATATAGTGTACCCTAAAGAACTGCTTACAATAAAGCTGTATTTGGCTTACCATGTAAGAATTTTCTCGAATTTTCATAATGGCGTTGAGGGCATGTATTCAGATTATAGCATGGCTTTTGTGTTCAGAATAAGCTGAAGCCTGTAATAAAATAGTGAAAAGTGCGGAGTATTTCATATATTTGGTAAAATGTCAGAAGTGGGATTTGAACCCACGCTCTCTCACGAGAACCAGAACTTGAGTCTGGCACCTTAGACCACTCGGTCATCCTGACTTGTTGTTTAATTGTTAAAGTTACATATATATCTACACTTCTGTTCAATGAAATAATCAAATAACACAAACGTTACATGTAATCACTGCTAACATTAATGTATAACATTAATAGGTCTTAGGGGTGTATTCAATCAAGACTTTTATAGGTATTCAAAAAGTTTTAAAGTTATTAATTTTAAATAATTTTCATATAATTTTTCTAAACTTTCTTAGAATCTTTTAAACACTAAGACAAACATTTATAAACTTTTAAAAACCTTTTCATATTAAAAAGTCTACCAAAGTTATTAAAACTCTAAGGAATAAAGTTCAAATTGGCCACTGAACGTAATTTGAAAGTGCACTTAGGTCACTGAACGAAAAAAAGGTGCAATTAGGCCACTAAACACTGTAAAATCATGCAATTTGTCCCAAGTGACCTGTAGTGGCAGGTTACCAATCGGTAATTATCTAATTTTTTTTAAAAAAATTATTAAAAAAAAAAACAGCGTCTTCCTCTGGCAACCTCAGCTCAGCGACGGCGTGGTTTCCCCTCTGCCGGCAGTGAGTTGCGAATGAACGGCGATCTCTCCTCCCCTCTTGTGCGAAGACGGTGTTTGGAGCTATGATGACGGGTTTCGGGGCAGCGATGACAGACGAGAAGCTGGACAGCAATTGGGCGAAGTCTTCTCCCCCTATTTTCGGCGAGCATTTTGGGTGAAACTTTCCGGCAGTGGGCAGCTCCAGCGGTGACAGTAGATCTGACGACGATCTGGGCGGCAGTTTCTCTCCTCTATTCCTCTGGTCTTCATCTCTTCATTTATTTTTTTAAAGCTTGAAGGGATGAAGGCAGCCATGACTGCTGCCTTCATCCCTTCACTTTAAAAAAAAAAAAAACTTTGAAGAGATGAAGGTAGCCATGGCCACTGCCTTCAACCCTTCATTTAAAAAAAAAAAAAAACAAAAGCTTTGAAGCAATGAAGGCAGCCTGCCTTCATCCCTTCATGGATCTGGTGTTCGATTTCTTTTATTTTTTATTTTATTTTTTTTTAAAATAATTTTTATTTATTTTTTTAATTATAGATAATTACCTGTTGGTAATCTATCACTTCAGGTCATTGGGAACAAATTGCATGATTTTACAATGTTCAGTGACCTAATTGCATCTTTTTTTTTTCGTTCAGTGGTCTAATTGCACTTTTAGGTTACGTTCAGTGGCCAATATCAAATGCACCCTTACAAACATTTCATAACTTCTATTAATACATTATTTATAATTTTCTTACAAAAACTGGTATAATATAAAATATATATTTATATATGTATGTATTTATAACACTCAGGATTGTTAACAACTATATATACACACACACACCAATGACCTTGTGATCTAGTGGCACCAAGTGAGTCTCTCAATTGAGAGGTCGTGAGTTTAAACCTTAGTGGGGGCTATATGGGGTCATAGCAATTAGGCCAATATATGCAATTTCACCGGATAGTAGGTTACATGCTTAGTGACATCTTAATAAAATAAAATGACGGGGTGGCCGGCCACCCCGTTTTTTTAAAAAAAAAAAATTATTATAATGGAATTAGATTTATAGTAGAGGCTTTTAACTTCACTCATAAATACATAAATAAATAAATTTTATACATTACCAATCACTCAAACAAATAATTCTATCCCCTAAGCTAGATTTACTTTTTTTTTTTTTTTTCTAAATTAATATCATGGAATTAGATTTATAGTTGATCCAATCATCCAAACTTTCTTAAGTCAAAGATTACACCAAACATGGGTAAATTATTGTGTGGACCATGATCCACACATTGTTATGTAGACCATAACAAAAAGTACATTTTTAATATACTAAATGTACATTATTTTTGTATTGAATGTACATTATACAATATAATGTACACTCAGAACAAAAATAATGTACATCCCCTGAATACAATGTACATTATTTTTGTACTGAAAGTACATTATTTTACAGTAGACAAAATATGGTCCACACAATAATGATTGCCAAACATGGGAATTATTTTTCACCTCTTAAATTCCCAAAAAAAATTGATCTTGCCTATAAAACGCCTTCTCAACTCAAATTATTAGGTTAGTCCAAGTGTGCATGCAAGTGATGAAACTAGCACGTATGCCTATTCTTAACAAAAATATGAACTCAATAAACATTAGATGAGTCTAATAAAATGTATCGTAAATCAACTAGTGTGTGTGTGTGTGTGTGTGTATATATATATATATATATATATATATATATATATATATATATATATATATATATAGAGAGAGAGAGAGAGAATGTAGGATTCCAATGAGAACACTTGCTTAGGTGAGAACGTGAGAACAAATCGTGTGCATCCATCTAATATTTTGTAATGGTCTAGATTAGATTAAGTGTGTGCGAACGCGAATTAAATGTGTGCAAACACACTTAATCGCGTTTGTATACATTTAATTCGCGTTCGCACACACTTAATCTAATCTAGACCATTAAAAAATATTAGATGGATGCACACGATTTGTTCTCACGTTTTCACCTAAGCAAGTGTTCTCATATGATCCTAAATCTAACCTCCGTTTGCAGTTGTCAATCCGTCGCTGGAAGTCTCTATTATAAGTCTTCCCCCAACGCCAGATATCTTTGCCACCAGAACAGGGCCACAAAAATTGAAAAACTGACACTGCCTATTAATGCTATACATTAATGTTAGCCGTGATTCTCATTGGGTACATGTCACATTTGTGTTATTTCATTGAAAAAAGTAGATATATAGGTATTCTAATTTTCAAATAATAAGTTAGGATGGCTGAGTGGTCTAAAGCTCTAAATTCAAGTTTTGATTTTCGTGAAAGAGCGTGCGTTCAAATCCCACTTCTAACATAAACCAAACAACAAAGTACTATTGAACATTTTAATGTGACAAATTTCACCTCTACAATCAATTGAGTTGTCTATGTGTACTTTTTCCCCCTTGTTCATATGGATGGCATATTGCATAACTAGCAACTAATAAATTCAATTGGAGCAACTAATAACCTAAAATCCTCAATAATCATTTTCATATAAACAAGCGCACTACAGAAATTAAAGGAGTGTATTCAATCAAGACTTTTAAAAACGTACAACGATTTTAAAAGTTTGGTTGTATTTCGAGCAAGACTTTTAAAGACTCTTTAAAAGTCTACTCGTATCCGATTCATACTTTTAAAAGAGACTTTAAAAGTATATTGGTATTCGATTTAAACAGTTATAAAGTTTTTAAAGGTCTACTGGTATTCCAAAACATATTAACTTGTATGTACTTGCTTAGATGAGAACGTGAGAACAAATCGTGTGCATCCATCTAATATTTTGTAATGGTCTAGATTAGATTAAGTGTGTGCGAACGCGAATTAAATGTGTGCAAACACACTTAATCGCGCCTGCACATATTTAATTCGCGTTCGCACATACTTAATCTAATCTAGACCATTAAAAAATATTTGATGGATGCACACGATTTGCTCTCACATTCTCACCAAAGCAAGTGTTCTCATATGATCCTAAACTAACCTCCATTTGCAGCTGTCAATCCGTCTTTGGAAGTCTCTGTTATAAGTCTTCCCCCAACGCCAGATAACTTTTCCACCAGAACAGAGCCACAAAAATCTAAAAATTGGCCCTGCCAATTAATGTTATAAAGTAATGTTCTCAGTGATTCTCATTGGGTACATGTCACCTTTCTGTTATTTCATTGAATAAAAGTAGATATATAGGTAATTTTAATTTTCAAACGAAAAATCAGGATGATTGAGTGGTTTAAGGTGCCAGACTCAAGTTCTGGTTTTCGTGAGAGTGTGTGGGTTCAAATCCCACTTTTGATATAAGCTAAACCACAAAGTACTATCCAACATTTTAGCGTGACAAATTTCACCTCTACAATCTTGCACAATTTAAATCACTACAAAAATTAAATTGAATGTGTGTATTCAATCATGAATTTTAAAAACGTATAACGATTTTAAAAGTTTGGTTGTATTTTGATCTAGACTTCTAAAGACTCCTAAAAAGTCTACTTGTATTCGATTCATGATTTTAAAAGAGACTTTAAATGTCTATTGGTATTCGATTTAAACATTTATAAAGTTATTAAAAGTCTATTGGTATTCCAAAATATATTAACTTGTATAGACTCTATCGGAATAGGAATTTTTTTAGACTTTTTATTCAAGAATATAAATAGTTGAAATCCAACCCTCTAACCCCAAACCTTTCAACTTTCTCTACAAACATTTTTTCTCTGTATAAACCATACAAACTTTTCAGATATTTCTATTAAATTTATGGTACTTTTCAAAAAATTCTTAGATACTGTTGATTTTTATATTTTATTTTCACACATATCTATAAAAAATCGTAACAAAAAATTTATTATTATGCAAACAGCAACTAGGTTTTGATACAGTCTCTTGTAAGGGCACATTATATATATATATATATATATATATATATATATATATATATATATATATATATATAGGCTCATATTAGAACACTTGCTTAGATGAGAACGTGAGTACAAATCGTGTGCATCCATCTAATATTTTGTAATGGTCTATATTAGATTAAGTGTGTGCGAATGCGAATTAAATGTGTACAAACACACTTAATCGCGTCTGCACACATTTAATTCGCGTTCGCACACATTTAATCTAATCTAGACCGCTAAAAAATATTTGATGGTTGCACACGATTTGTTCTCACGTTCTCACCAAAGCAAGTGATCTCATATGATCCTAAATCTAACC